GAGCATCCCTGCACAGGTGTGGAGCATCCCTGCACAGGTGCAGCATCCCTGCACAGGTGTGTGCTCCTCACCTGCCCTCGGGTGAGCAGAGCCTGCTGCACTGGCCCAGTTTGCCCCAGCAAAGCCGTGCCCTGTCCCACAGGGGAGGAGATAACTCGGCTGCATCAGCAGAGCTGGGGATGGGCAGAGGCCACAAAGTCTCACTGATTTGATCTGTTCAGGGGTCTGGAGCTCTGTGAAGGGCAGAGCCGTGCCAGGACCTGTCCCGTGCTGCTCCCTGCCCAGGTGGGCAGGGCTGGCACGTCCCTGCCTGGCTCGGTGGCAGCAAAGCCTCAGCAGGAGCTGCAGGAGGATTCTGCTCCGGAGTGTGAATCCCCAGGGCTCCTTGTTAGGTTAATGAAGAGGCTGTCTTCTTTTCCACTCTGTTTGATTTGACTGGCTTCTCTGGGGGCAGGGAGGCATCGCTGTGCAGGAAGGATTTGCTTATCAGCAAAGGCTGGGCACAAACCTGCCCCGGCCCCGTGGGGAGGTGGCACAGCTCGGGCTGGGGCTGCAGGCTCAGCTCCTGCCCGGGCAGCCGTGTGTGCCACGGGGCTGGGATGGCACGTGGGGCACGCAGAGAGGGAGGGACAGGGGGTGACAGAGCGTGGGGTGTGAGCAGAGGTGTGACAGACGCCAGCCCTGGGTGGCTGCTGGCCACAGGGACGTGTCCGTGCCACCGCTGTGAGCTGGGAGACAGCTGGATCCCCCCCTGCCCCCAAATTCATGAGAGGAGCTCGTTACCTTGAGAGCCTGGCGTGCTTTTATGGTGGTGATTGAATGCCCTCATCAGCATTTGTTGGGGGGTCTCGCTGGGGTTTTGGGGTGGGCAGGGGGGGAGAAGGAGCCTGCACAGCCAGGCTCACTCGGGGAACACTGACAAGACAAAACTTGGTGTATTTTTGGGTTGTCTCCACACCGCAGGGCTCCGGTTGGGCTATAAATTATTAGTGCCAGTACAAAGCGCAGTTTATCTGCGGGCTCACATGGAGGCACCAATAACATTAATAATTTAAAAAATGTTAATAATTTAGAAATCTTTTTTTTTTAATTGCTTTTCAGCCCCCCCCCGCCCTCCCGCCCCCGTTCTCCCAGTGGCATTCATCCCACATTCTGAATTCAGTCTGTCTCCGTGCCTGGAACCTCCATCCGCCAGCGTCCCACTGTCAATCAATCTGATTTCCCAACTGTCAGAGTGCGGGATTGTAAATAACAGATCCTGGGGGAAGGGAGAGGAGAGGGGGTGTGAGCGGGGGCTGCTGCGGTCACTCGGGATCGATGCGGCTCCTGGAGCTGGCTGCACGCCAGCCTTCTAAATTACAGCCGCCGTGGCAATCAGGAGTGACCTGGGTTTTTCAGATAATTAATTTATAAACATTGCAAGGTTGCACGGTCTCCCTGGCTCGGTGAATTCTCCGGGTTTTTTTCCTGTGATCTGGCGGTGTTTGGTTGTTTTCTTGCGGACTTGTGCAGTTCGGAATTGTCGTTTCGGTGCTTGTCCCCTGGGCTGGGGGCGTGGGGACAGGGGCAGGATTTGGGCACTGCTGTCCCCCCCTCCTGCCAGCAGAAGCAGCAGCTGGGGGAACATTCTCACCCCAGCACGGGGCTCCAGCCCTGAGCATCACCAAAATGTTGGCTGCTGCGGCTGATGGAGCTCAGGCTGGTGCCACTGGGGATGGCTGGGATTCCCAGAACCGAGGGAAAAGACACGGAGATGGAAAATGTGGCATTGCCAGGGTTGTGCAATGCTCCTGCAGCAACGTGGCTTTCCAAAGCAGCTGTGGGAGGGGTGGGTGTGGGGCTCTGCAGGGTCCGTGTCCCAGCAGAGCCTGCCCAGGCTGTGCTCGGGGCTGAATCTGCCTCTGCTCCTGTCCCCAGCCGTGTTTTGGTTTCCTCTGGCAGGCCCACGGTGGCAGGGAGGTTTCCTCTGCGGGGATGTTTCCTGTGCACGGCAGCAGAGGCCCTGGGGTGGGCTGGGAGCTGTGTGCAGGGGGATTCCACACAGGACTCGCCTGGCTCAGGTGTCCCTGTCCCTCGTGGCTCCCTGAGGCCGGGGCTGGCCACAGGGGCTGTACCTGCAGCACCTGCCCCTCCTGGGGCTGCTGTGGTGCTGGCCCTGCCCGCTCTGTCCTTCCCAGGGCACCGTGTGGCTGCCCTGGGCCCTGGAGGGGCTGTGCAGGTGGCGCAGGCAGGGTGGCACAGGTGTCACAGGCAGGGTGTCACGGGTGTCACAGGCAGGGTGGCACAGGTGTCATAGGCAGGGTGTCACGGGTGTCACAGGCAGGGTGTCACGGGTGTCACAGGCAGGGTGTCACGGGTGTCATAGGTAGGGTGGCACAGGTGACACAGGCAGGGTGTCACGGGTGTCATAGGCAGGGTGTCACGGGTGTCACAGGCAGGGTGACAGAGGTGTCACAGGCAGGGTGACAGAGGTGTCACAGGCAGGGTGGCACAGGTGACACAGGCAGAGTGGCACATTTGGCACAGGTGTCACAGGCAGGGTGGCACAGGTGTCACAGGCAGGGTGGCACAGGTG